GGAGAGTGCAATTCAAATTAGTACCTTAAGCAAATTAGTACATTTCCCTTCCAGCCAGCCAAGACTTCAAAATAGAGGTTGGAATGACCCAACTTGATTTATAGATTGATTTCCTTCCTAGTTTAAAGTCTCTCTCTTTCTACAGAAGTAATGTTTTACTACCATGTCAATTTATTTACTTTATAACACAGCACAGGTGTGGCTATGGACAAATTTCCATCTAAGAGTTTGATCAAGCGTATTAATTATCTGTCACAGCTAGCTCTCACTCTGAAGAATTGAAGGATCAGTATGTTACCTCAGATTACCTTGTTAGGAACAATTAATCTACTTGCTGGATATGCTGTTTCTTTGTGCCCTGAAAAATCTGCCTGTGAAAACTCAGTGATTTTGAACCTGAATTAGCTGATGACATACAATGACTCTACAATTGCTAGACTAATGATGCTTCTACCTGCTTTTTGGAACTTTTGCTTACTGCACTGGTGTCAAACTTGATCACGTCATGTAATGTCATGTGACATATTGTGACTTTTTTGCCTTTGCGGAGCCAGGGTGGGTGTGGCCTGCATTCAACCCGTGGGTCACTAGTTTGACACCCCTGGCTTACTGGGACTTTGCTTGAAAGTTTTCAAAGGATTTGGAACTGTTTGGAATCTACATGCTACTGTAATGATTCAAATCAAGTAAAGCCTTTGAAATATACTCCTTTGTGGATCTGTGAGTGTGTGTCATACCTGGGACAGGACATTATCCTTATCTGGGAATCTCTCATAGTTAGCAGATTTTCTCGAGTCTTGCTTTGATCTTCTTCCTCCCTAGAGGAAGGATAGGCATGATCCTTCATCTCTGGTATTTTTTCCATCACTCCAGAATTCATCAGTGGCCTTCAGTCTGCTGTGGAATCGGCAATTCTTCAGCAACCCAAACTGTTAAATCTAACTTTCTCAAGAAGTCTTAATGGCAGTTCTATTCCTTTGCTAGATCTTTGACACATTTCAGCTTTTTATACACCCAACATGAGAAGTTCTTTCTCTGTGAAAACCACAGACATCCCTAATATTTTCCTAGACCAAGCATATCAACTACATGTACAGTCTGTTTGGGAAACTACATGACAGGATGGTACAAAGTGCTTTGCTCCTCTATTCTGTCACGTACAATAATACTTAATGTATCATGTAGCAAGATAATACACAATGCAAACAATAGAATGAATTATGAAATTGTGTCCTGAAATAAAAAAATAATTTTATAAATTAATATGTATAATATTCACAATTACACCAGCATTTATTTTCTACAATGACTTTTATTCTGGTAGAACTTGGGAGAATCAGAGAAAGGAATGCTACTGACCTCTCTCCTATTTTTTTTTCCCTGCATAGTCAAACAATGTATGCCATCAACATTCAGCCTTTCTCTGCATTTGCTGTAGGAACTTTGGCTGGGCCAGAGGCTATTAAATGGTCTCAGAGCTCTCCATCACAGGGAATTATAGCTATCATAGCTAAACACTGAGCACATAATCTCTTTATCACCAGCCTCTCCCAAAATTGCCATATTGCAGTCATTGTTATAGTCTTTACAATTATTACAGTCTTGTTATAAAATCTAATCACTTCTCATATTCATTTGAGTTCTTTCCTCCCTCCAGTTAGCTTTTTGACATGATTAGTCATAATTGGTATCATTCTTGTCAAGCTTCTTTATAGCAGATGGGATCAACTATCAGATTGCTTTCATGATTGCCAGATAAAGGAAGAAGAGTCTTTTTAAAATCTCAAACTTTAGCTATAGTTTATGGAAAAATGAAAAGTTTCTATTATATGATTTTTTTTTCAAATTGAAAACACCATTCTGTATTTTATATTAAAATATACTCAAATGGTTACATACACACAGACCCACAGCAGAAGACAATCATATATTCTTGAAAAACAAGATAGTAACATGGAACTGACCTCAACCACACTAGACATCTAATGACTTAAGAACAACTGAACAGCCTTCTTTTAATTCGGAATTGGCCATAAATGACCTCCAGTCAATATTTACTCTCATGGCATCATTCCCAACATTCAAGCAATTCAAATTTTTAAAAAGTGTCTCATACTGGGGAAAGCAGCTAATTTCCATGTGGGAGGGGGAGAGGGGATTTCAACCAGAGTACCAACTGAGAAGGGGAATAGGATTTAGTTTCCAATCCTTCTCAGCCTTCCTATGACAATTCTGGGGAGACTGACAGAGTGTATGTGTGTTAGGAAATTGCAGATGGGGTTAAAATTATACTCACTGGGGTTTTATTGACCTAGAAAGAAACATATGAACACTTATTAAAATATGTCATAAAATTGCCCAGTGTATTAGCAATTTTGAAAAAAGGTTTTATTAGAGTTTATTGTACAAATGGCAATAAAGATCAGAAAGAGGAAAAGAATGCAAAAGAAAAAGGAAATTGACTTCTAAATGTTTTTGGTGTAGTATAATATAAATATAATTGCAACCTCAAGTTTTGCTTTACATTTCTAATAGATACAACCCATTTCCTGCTGAAAGTGTGCAGAGAAGAGCAACAAAGATAATAAGGCTGAAGGTCTGGAGGCTAAACCATATGCTGAACATCCCAAAGGTGTTTTTTCAAGAGGCAACTGGATTTTCTAGTTTTTCTTTGAAGATGTTTTGCTTCTCATCGTGAAGCTGAAGAAGCTTTGTGTATGATAAACAAGATGTCTTCAAAGAAAAACCAGAAAGTCCAGTTGCCTCTTGGTCATGGTTGCCTCATGGGACAACCATGACCTGGATAACTGAGTATCTCCATAGATATATGATGAACAGTTAAGGGATCTAAGTATGTCTAGCCTATCAAAGAGAAGGATTGGTAGCTGTCTTCCAATACTTGAGGGACTGTCATAGAGAAGAGTGGGTTGACTTAATCTCCAAAGCACCTGAGGGCAGGACAAGAAGCAATGGGTAGAAGCTCATTAAAGAGAGAACTAAGGAGAAATTTCCTGGCAATGAGAACAATTAGTCAACGGTTGTTTTCTAGAGTTGTGGGTGCTCCATAGCTGGAGGTTTTCAAGGACAGACTGGATAACTATTTGTCTGGGATAGTATAAGGTACTTGAGAAAACTAGAAGACCTCCAAGTTCTCTTCCAGGCTTATGATTTGATGATTCTAAGACAAAAATCTGGCCCCAATATTTCTTTGTTTTATCACAACTCCAAGTGCATTGCCAAGAAAAGGAGGCTGTTTTAGAAGTTTGCAAACTATACCGTGTTTCTCCCAAAAGAAGGCCTGGTCTTATTTTCTTTTGACCCCAGAAAAAACAGCTAGGCCTTCTTTTTGGAGGGTTCTGATTATTGACTCACCTTGCAGCAGTGGCACTGACAGCCCCACCCAGCAGGAGCCCGCTGCTAGCCCACTTCTTCTGCAGCCGCTTGCTGCCACTCGCATGCATTGCCCCAGCCTCCGTTTCGCCTTCAGATACCTTTCAGAAAGCCTTCTGTAGCCGATGTAACAGGTGTCGGGGTCTGCGAGGCCTGGTAAGTAGGGCATCCCCACCTAGCTCATTTTTTACCTGTGTTCCTCGCCCCATCCCCTGCACCATGGGATGGGTGGGGTCTTAATTAGGGCTAATTTTGTGGGTAGGGCTTAATTTGATCACATGCACTCAAAAACATGATAGGGCTTCTTTTCAAGGTGGGTCGTCTTTTTGGAGAAATACAGTACATGTAGATGATTCCCATCAATCCAGATTTCTGTAGGGATGAAAGAGTCAATAAAACAGAAACCTGAAAGAATACATTATAATGGTTGAAAGGGGAATTTAAGGTCTGGTTCCTATCAGAGGCACACTTTGAAGCAGCCAGCTTCAAAATGGCAGGAGCAAGTAATGATTGAAGCCCCATCTCAATTTATGTGTATGCAATAATTGAGACTCATGTTTAACATGAAGAGTGATATTTCCTGCAAGCACCCCTATTTGCTTGGCAATGGACTTCTAAGTCCTAATTCTCCACTGAAAGGATTTCAGGCTGTTTTAAAGTTTTGTCTACATATAAAAATACGAACCTAAATCAAAAAGTTAGCAATAAAATACTGGCTTTAGTATCTTTCCCTTTTTTCCAAGAAAGCTATTTATACTAACTCAGCTCTTGACAGTTTATTGCCTTCTCCACTTTATTCAATTCTTGGTCTTTTCACCACATGTCCATTGACCTTCTGGACTCCCGTCATGGGATGCAGCCAGATGCCAAGAACACCGTTTCCAAAAGAGGACAAGAGCACAAAACTCAGAAATAAAAGTTGGCATGCTGCATTCTATTGTAATTCTGCCATTGGTAACTCAGTGGAATAAGTATGATCTTGCAACCTTGCATTACTTCATCTCAGCAGGTGATGCCCTTTTTAGGAATGACCTGCTTGATGACCTCAACTCCCTTCAATATTTTCAGCCCTCAACCCATTTTGATTCTCACATATTTTAGGACAGAATGGCTAAGTGCATAGGGAGAGGGATGAAAGTTAACTCTGGAATTCACAACTGACGTAATATATACTTAAAAGGGAGCATTCTATTTAGGTTTAAAGCCAGCTCACTGTTCCAAAATATTGATGAAAATACTATGATATATTTAGGACACATTTCACTAATATAATACTTCCTCTGTTTGAAGTTTGATTTTTAAAAATCCTTAACACTCCCTTTTAATGACCCTGTAGTCCCTATTTTTGGGGTAGAGGCAACTAGAAACAACTGGATGGGGCTGAGCGTTTACTGACTGGATGCCCTTCTTGATGCCTATGTGGAGTTTGCAGAAGATTCTTTTTCTTAGTACCCTAGGAGAGAAACATCTGCCGCTATGTAGGATTGAACTCTCAACCTTCTGAGTGGGAAGCAAGCATCTTCACCACTAGGCCACTACATTATTCACCAACAAGTTTGGTAATCAGAATTTTTTTAAAAAGCAAAGATACCTCCATCGGCTTTTGTTCTTTATCATTCATATTGTTTTTTATTATTCTAATATTCCAAACCTTGAAATGTAGCAAGAGATGTACATCTTTGAAAAAGATTACATTCATTACATAGCAATCAAGCAATATGTACTGATAAGGGTAAAATATCAATGGAAGATACATTAAAAACTATGAATGCATTATTCCTTGGCATTTCTATTTATCCAGTGATGATGATCTACAATATTTATATCTACAAAATCATAAAAAGTTGCATTTCTCCCAAACATTCTATACTGTATATGCTTACATGTAGAATGATTTTCTACAGCTTTTTCAACTCTTGCATTCTGTAATTCTGATTGTACACACATTTATACCAACAAAGAACAATTGTTCACAGATTTAAAGCAGTAACCCCAGCAAGTCTTTTTTTTTTTTTCCTCATGGAATGACTCTTGGAATGGCTTAGCTTCATGGCATTTATGCAACGTTCAGGATTAAAGTGCTTCTTATTATCCAGCTTTCCTTCTGTGAAGTATCCCCCTTTCAACATTGTTTACAACAATTATACTATAATTTCCTTTTCTAACTCTGCAAATTTACTCTGTGAGGGATAATGCACATGCTGTATATGCACCTGGCACCCAAAATAGGTCATGTTCCTGAAATAAAATAGAATACAAGCTGTTAGGGGATGCATCTGAAGATGGTCTACTTCTTTTAGGTGGAACAAAACACTGTACACTGGTTGCTTTACTGAGTATTTTTAATGTAATTTAACTTCTTGTCATGTTCTACAGTCCAGTGCCAGACTGTGACTCTGCACAGTAATGGCCTCAGATTAGTGGCATAGACAGTTAGGTTGGAGATCAATTCTGAGACATAATTTATCGTTCCTAATTTCCTCTGAACTGCTATCGTTTTACTTTTAGTACATTTCATTAATATTTTTCCAAGACACTGCATTTCTTGAACTTTGAAAGATTTGTTTTTGTTGAATTATAAGGATCTTACTTTTCCTACTATTAGTTTTAATCAATGATTGTGTTGTTCTGTAGAGATTGATATAAGTGTATATTTAATCCCTACAGTGCTTTCCATCTGCTTTTGCATGGTGTGACAAAACACTTCCAGGGCCAGGCCAACCCAAGCAATATGCTCCAAATGTTTACCAACTAAACTTACATAAACATGTTCTTTGTTTTTCCAATGGTACTTGCCAAAACCCAACTAATGGACCCATCTTGAAAATTGGGCTGTGAATACTGCTAGCAGTTCCAATTTTGACAGCATATAATGTTTTCTCTTAAAACACCGTATCTTTAGTTATTTGGGATCCAAGCACATTCTCATACTTTAAAAACAGTGTATGGAATGTACCCATTATTTTTGTTCGTTCTATGGTAAATTATTTCTCTTGTTTCCATCATGTTCAATTCAACTTTCAATTTTATTCTCAGAGCTATTAGAACAGTCCGCATTTCGGTACCACAAAATGATATGATGAAACCTCACTATTTCTCATTTAGAACCAATGTACTATAGGGGAAATGTTGTTTTATTTCTTCCAGTGGAGAAGCAGTTCTTTTTATTCATAATGGAGAAAACTTGCAATTTGCTATTTGGATCAGTTCCCTATATCAGACTAGAAACCAACCATGACAGATAATAGGGTTTGTTAATGTGAAGTAAACAAACCCATGAAACATATATTCTTACATGCTTAGCCATGACAGCATTCTTTTGTGTAACAAAATTATATTGCACTGAATCAACACAGGTAAAATATTACAGCTTTTCAGATGTTTCAAGACCAGAAGAGTTCTTTGCAAATTCAATACTGTATGATAGAATGTACTTTTCCCCATGAATATAATTTGATAACCACACATTATGACTATTGTATTGAGTATTCAATGCAAGATGTTAGATGCATAATTTATTGGATACAAGTCTGGCTTAGGTTTCAGTTGACCGAAATCACATTTAGCTATTTAGACTGATCTGAGGTTCTGAAAGAGGAATAGGTTTCAATAAAGTATCTTCCAATGGGCTAAATAATAAGTCTAATACTCCATTTGCATTTATTTATGAGAAAGCCCCGCTTAATTCAGTAGGAAGTCCTCTGAGTAGTCATGCCAAGAAATACTGTTAGCTATTCTTTCTTCATGTTTATTTTAATTCCATCCATTTTTGAAGCTTGCAGATAAAGAAATAAAACCTGATTTGCTGAAACTAGCTTGAGCATTAAAACTATTAAACGAAATAACTGCCTTTGGCTTTATCACGAATTCAAGGGACTCTTGAACTGTGTTACAAAGCTAAGAAGGACCACAAATAAGAAATGACAACACAAATTAGTCATTTTTCTTTGGCAAAGAAAATGGAATCGCCATATAAATATGCCAGCATATAGAGCTTTTGCACCATCCATTATAGCATGCTGGCTTGTTTTCCAAAAACTAATTAATGTTTGTTCTTCTTTCTACAAACTCTTTGTTCACACACAATGAATGTGAAGAATATTATAAGCTTCTGATTACTTTTTCAACAGAAGCAACAATTCTGTGAAGCTACTGCAAGCTGTGCATAAAATTGCAAGCACCAAGTTAACGGGTAACTCCCAGAGTTAAAAGGATTTTTAGTTGGAGAAGCTCCCTACCCACTTACCCACCTACACAACAGATGGCATATTATACCCTGCTCTATGAGCTCACAATGTCTCCGCTGCAGTTTTTTAATGGTACGGACAGAATCTGTTCTGTGTGATGGTTTCACCCTCTGTACCTTTTGTGTGTTTTGGATTTGGTTCATGCCATGTTTTTCCACATTGGTCCATATTTCCAATGAAAGGGAGGCTACGCACTGAATATTGATTCTGCATTAGTATGCAGAATCATTCCCTTTCTTACTAGACAGACCAAACTGACAGTCATGTGGCAATCACTTCCATTTCAATACTTTTTCACTATACAAGTAGTCCTCAGCTTACACCCACAATTGAGCCCAAAATTTATGTTACTAAGTGAGACATTTGTTATGTGAGTTTAGCCCCACTTTACAACAGTTTTAAGTGAATCATTGTAGTTGTTAAGTTAGTAACACAGTTGTTAAATAAGTCTGGCTTCCCCATTAACTTTGTCAGAAGGTCACAAAAGGTGATCACATGACCCACCCACCCCCCACCCCTCCCGGGACACTGCAGCCTTCGTAAGTATGAATGAGCTGCTGAGTTGAGGACTACCTGCAATTTTCTTGCTCTGGTTCTTCCTAAAAGAGCAGTAATTTGCATTCTTTATCAATACTTCAAATCATGTATAATGTAGCCAGACTGCAAAATGTTATTGCATGCAATGAATAGCACTTTGTTTTCAAGAACACAAGGTAGATTTCCACTGAGTGATATTGTCTAAACAACAGTGCGTTGAGTAGTGCTTCCAAAGGCTACTAAAAAAAAATAATGCTATTAATTTCAATACTTTAGTAAATGCAAATTTGCACAATAAGCAATCTTTACTGAATCATATTTGAAGTAATATCAAAGGGTAAATTGCATTAGAGAAATAGAGATAAATACAGATTTTTGTTTTCCCATCTTTCATTTCTATATATTTTACAAAATTACAATGTTGCTTGCTGATTTACATCTAGTATATTGTCACATGTAAATGACTAATCCTGTGATTGATTGATGTATATATCAAAAGGATGTAAATATTAATTCCCTTTTCCAATAACCACCCCCTCATAACTCCTCCTTACCTTTGCTCCGCCTCCTTAGTATATAAGCCCCATCCCGCTCCTTCATCCCTTGCTCTCTCTCCTGTCATGATACCTGTTAAGATGTTTAATAGAAACAATAAATATATTTATTAGAAAAGGAATGACTTCTATGAGTTATTGGGCTTGATCCTTGAATCTACGTAACATATATTCAAATCTAGTCAAATGTGATTGGCTGAGTATAATGAATAACGTTGTGGTTTATTCAGTAAAAGATGATTAGGCAATCCTTGGCTGAAAACAATATGTGAATTCAGTCACTGAAATGTTTATTGAGCTCATGATGTTTATTGTTGGCCATGATGCTTATAAAAGTGGCAGGAAAAAGTGCCTGAAGTCCCTTATGTTTAATTAATGAGCGAGATGATAGATATGTGAACCCAATTTTGTTTATACAGGAACACATTTCACAGGAAAATATCACCACATTTCTAATTACCTCAGTTGCCGATTTACACCATATAGCATGTTTTAAATTTGACTGCATTGTTTTGCAACTTATTCATAAACAGTCTTACTATGCTAAAATATCACTAGGAGTTTATGAAAGGAATGAATCTTATCAAATGTATTAGTCTCTCTCCCAAACCTTTTGGTAAGTTTTGCCCATCTGTTAGTGAGAAGGTGAGATAAATTGAGAAATAATGAGAGACTGAGAAATTATATCAATGACTTATTTGTAAATTCTTTATTCATTGCCTCTTTTTCATCTAGTTTCTTTTTGTCTGAGATGGTGGCTAACCAGGTAGCTGGGTAGAATAAAATGGGTATTTAATATTTAGAGAAAAAAGGGGATAGGAAAATTACTACTGTGCTAAATGTTATATTTGGTTTATATGGGCTCCTCGATGCTCTGATGATGTTACCTAGTCTGGTAATGAAACGTCCACAAGAAAACCACCAAGCTCAGAGAGGACCAAGGACCCCACAGCTTAACCCCGAGGTACAAATATTCTCTTCTATTGATATTTGATTTAAAATGCAAAAGCAAGTGGGATAGCTTTGGAGAAAGGGGTTGGAGCTCCTTCCCACTGACAATGGTGGTGACATTCTCCCAACTTTGTGTTTCTGTCCATCCTTCTTCCCAAGCAGCCTTTATTTGCCTTTTAACCACAGAAGAAGCAATATAGATTGAGCCCAAGATAGAAAAAATATCAGATGAACTTTCAGATGTGACAGGAATTACTGTGTTCCTGAATGTACCTAGTCTGTATAGATCAGGGGTGTCAAACTCAAGGCTGATCCGGCCCACGGGATGCTTAGATCTGGCCTGCGGGGCTGTCCTGGGAACAGTGGACCAGCCCATGGTTCCTCTGCCAGCGAAAATGGAGCTCGGGAGGGCTGTGCGCAGCCCTCTTGAGCTCCATTTTCACTGGCAGAGTGCTCGGACTACCACAGGCATCCCTGACACGAGTGACGTGTTGGCCATACCCATCCCGCCCTGGAATTAAAACATAACTCTAATGCAGCCCTCAATGAAATCGAGTTTGACATCCCTGGTATAGATTATGCATGAAATTAAAGAGGAAAATTGATCTATACTGACCACTGAAAATTAGTAGGCACTATTGGACTATACTAAATGCTGATTCAATTTCAGTGGCTGCATGGTGCATCAGATGATAGTATAAGTACTTCAGGGATTTTAATAAAGATTCGTAAGCACCAGTGGAAATTCACCAAGCATTTTCAGCAATGCTTGCTAATAAAGCTCTGTATTTTAGTCGCTGAACAGTTCACTGAATTCACTTAAAACTTCTGTAAGTTTATCCTTGTATGCCTATCTTCAAATGGTGAATTTTCAAAGCAGAAATGGATGGCATTCTTTTATTATTTTAGTAGAGAAGAGAATGAATCAAGGCCGATTACAATTAGGTGATTCATAATCATTAGCCTAAGAATTAATTGCCGTCTCAAAATAACTACCATGAAATAACTGATCACTATATTTAACATCCTTTTAATGTACTGTGATCCTTTTGTTTGCCAATATTTAGGCAGTGATGTTGTCAGAGACTTGCTGCTTTTTGTTCTGTTTGGTGGATTTGATTGTTAGCCAAACAACAGTGATTATGATTCTTAGTTATGCTCCACAATGTTTTGTAATAAAACCCTGGACTGTATTCTCAGACTTTAGCAATTCAACTAATTGAGGACTCTCACTGTATACATGACAAATTAATCAAAGCCTTTCTTTCTTGCTTTGCTTTTTCAACTTCTGCAGTGTGAAGCTACTGAACCTATAACCTTAAACTGGTTGTGCAAAATATGTTATCATTTCAATCATCTTGGAAATCTAATCAATTCTTTTGATTTACTGCAGCAGACATAATTATAAAGAAAGGATTGTAGAGAAAGTGGAATAAGAATTATAGAGAGGAGGAGAAATAACCTTATCTGATGTACCTTACATCAGGGTTTTCTAAACTTTTTGCCATCACACTTCCCTTTCTTGTAATCTTAATGTACACACCTTCCCCTAAAATGTCCAAACACCAAAACGAACACAAATGAACAATGAAAGCAATTCAATGACTCTGGCAAAGGTGGATTTATTGTAACAATGTACAGCTAAAAGGTTATTCACACGTCCCCAAGAGAGGTACACCTCACAGTGTGGGAAGCCCTGCCTTACATACTATTACTGATCTTCTTGAAACTCTTAATTAGCTCTCCCAACAAAACTCAAACAAATATTCTTCCAGCTTCCTATTATGGAAAAGTTCCCATAAACTTGATTTACAGTGTCTTTGTAATTTATTTATTTAGAAATAGCCTAGCATAGCCTATTAAAAATGACCAGACTCCTAAAACAAGCAACAAAACAATGAGTCTTTCATTAGATTCCCAAGGACAGGAAGTATTTCAGTTTTAACTAACTTAAATAAGCAAATAAGCAAACACATGAGAATCAACTATTTTCAGTTCTGTACATCTATTTTCTAATATGTTCTAATGGAGATTTTTCAATGGCATTACTGATACTTTTGCTTTTGCTTTAGAAAAGACTGAATTTAGCAGTTTGGCACTGGATTTTATACTCCAGGAAAGAAAATGCTCTGATACATTATGGGAAAAAGGAATTTAAAATGTGTAAAGTTGTGATGCTTTTTCTTTGAGGGTACATTTTCTCCTAAGCAAAGGCTATCATATTTTGGGCATGTCATGAGAGCTGACTCATTTAAAAAATTAATCATGCTGGGAATGGTGAGAGGAAAAAGGGGAAGGGGCAACCCTGCTACCTCTTGGCTAAACACTACAAAGGATGACACTAGGATGACCATGGCAGATCTGAAAGAGGCACTACACGACAGACGGCATGGAGAGGACTGAGGATCGGACGTGAGTGAATTGATGATGATGACATTTCTTCCAGGTCCTACATAAAACTACTTTACCTTGTTCTGTTTTATCTTTTTTTAACCTAGTAAACCAGTGGTTCTCAACCTGTGGTCCGCAGACCCTTGTGGGGGGGAATGCAATGTCATTATGGGGTGTGTGTGTTCTGTGAAGGCTTGAGGAAATGTTATGATTTAAATCAGTGGCGAAATCCAAATTTTTTTACTACTGCTTCTGTGGGCGTGGCTTGGTGGGTGTGGTGTGGCTTGGTGGGTGTGACAGGGGAAGGATACTGCAAAATCTCCATTCCCACCACACTCCAGGAGAAGGGTACTGCAAAATCCCCATTCCCTTCCCACTCCTGGGGAAAGGATATTGCAAAATCTCAATTCCAGGGGTGAAATGCTCCCAGTTCGGACTGGATCACCTGATCCAGTAGCGATGGAGGCGGGTGGTTCGGAGAACCGGTAGCAAAAATCCCTGCCCCTTCCCCCCCCCATGCCCAGTTGAGCCGTGTGATCACCAGAGGCTTTTTTTTTAATTTTTAAAAGCATTTTTTCTACAATCTCTTCAGCAGAAAAAATGCTTTTGAAAGTAAAAAAAAAGCCTCTGATGATCATGCGGCTCAACTGGGATCGTCAGAGGCTTTTAAAAGCCTCTGACGATCCCAGCTGAGTCGCCTGATCGGCAGAGACTTTTTTCTTTTAAAAGCCTCTGCGGATCCCAGCTGAGTTGCCTGATCGGCAGAGGCTTTTAAAAGAAAAAAAGCCTCTGCTGATCAGGCAACTCAGTTGGGATCATCAGAGGCTTTTGAAAGCATTTTTTTACAACCTCTTCGCCGAAAAAATGCTTTTAAAAGTAAAAAAAAAAATTGGCCAAGCCCACCCAGTCACATTTCCCCCCCCCACCAAGCCACGCCCACAGAATCTGTAGTAACAAATTTTAAATTTCACCACTGCTCCATTCCCACCCTACTCTGGGGCCAGTCAGAAGTGGTATTTGCCAGTTCTCCAAACTACTCAAAATTTCCGCTACAGGTTCTCTGAACTGCTCAAAATTTCCACTACCGGTTCTCCAGAACCTGTCAGAACCTGCTAGATTTCATCCCTGTTTTAAATATAGAGTTAAGTCTTGGGGGTCCATGGCCAGGGTCCATGGCCACAAAAGGTATTTAAAGGGAGTCCTTGGTGAAGAAAAGGTTGAGAATCACTGTAGTAAATCATTATTCAAAGTAATCTCAGGTGAAAATAAAATCAGTATAGTTTCAATTCAAAGAAACTAACTCTATATTTAACTTTAAAAAGAAAATGGTTCAGTTCTGAATATTTTTTTAAAAAAATACAAGACTGTTTATTTCTCTAGCATAACAACTAAAAACTCTAATTGATCTATCTGCAGCCTCCTCCACAGTCTAATTATAACCCTATGGCTTGGCTATCAGTTCCAACTTTGTCCTCCTTGCCCTCTTTTTTCTTTGTTGCCAGTATGCTTACACTAAGTTCCAGAGCATCTGTAAGCTTGTATAATATTTTATGATCACAGATTGGCCTGAAAAAAATTTATTCTAGTATGGATTTTGGAATAAGCAGAGTCAATAACCAAAGATTCTCTCACATGCTTGAAACCCCGAAGTGTATAATTGTGTTTTTAAATGATATATTCATCTTAGCTTTATAAACAATTTACATCACTGTCATTCTCTGTAGTATGGTTATTCAAACATATATGGTTCTAAGATATATTACAATTTTTGCCAGTAATAACGTTGTTATATAATTGAGCTTGCAGTTAACTTAAACCGATTAGCATACTGGCTTGCCTGTCTTAATAGGATACCAATCTAAAATGGTGGTTATTTTTTGCATGTGTTCAAGTTTCCTATTGCTTATATATTTAAAAAGATAGCATAAATATTCATATTAGGCTATCAGTAGGCAATTTTTATGGCACCTTATTCTCACATTCAGTATTAATGAAAATGTTGCTGCTATGGAAACACCTCAGTACTGTTAAATATATAAATTATTAAAGCTTCTGTTGCAGAAAATTGCTCGTTTCTAAATCCTCCATGCCACAGAAATATTTGTAGGACCTTTACTATACTTGTTTATACTAATTCTCAGGAAAAGTTAGAATATACAGTAGGTTAATAATGTTTGGTATTCAGCATGTGGATTTATACACAGAAGCATACATTTGTGTTCCCTTTTGCAGCTACTTCCAGGGAAGAAATGGTGAACTGACAATAGCTCCACAAAATCATTGTGGTGGGTCAGCAAGTAAATCAGCTCTTTGTAATTCCTCTCTGGACAAAGTGAGTACTTGAGATTGGCCACAAGTGCTCCAAGCAATTGCTTTTCTGAGGAGTCTGCAAGACAATGATTTCGGGTGGGTTTAGAGCTCTGAGAGAGGAATGTATAGCACTTCTGCCCAAACAAGGTTGGTGTCTTTAAAAGGACACTGGATGCACCTATTTCCTTTTCTAATCACTTTCAGAAATTACATGTTAACTTATTTTTAGCTGTTAGGAACTTTGGAATCAAACAAGTTTTACAGCATTGGGTAAATTTCCTTCAATCCTTAGCAAAGGGAGTTTTAAATACAAGTTTAAGAAATTAAGGTGTTTTTTTTTTTCTGGAATAAACAGTAAAAGGTGATTAAAACTTTGATTTTAGAAAGTTACAAATGGATTGTAACTTTGTAAATTTGAAATAAGAGTTTGGAATTAATTACAAAGAATCCTTCCCATGGAAAAATGCTTTTGTTTCCAATTCTTAAAAAGAAATAAGATAATGTTCCCTTTTGCAGTAAATAGAGTTATGCAAAGCACACAAAAAAAGTAAGAAATAGTAAATTAAATGTACAGTGTTTTCGAGTGTACAGCAATACCAGTGATTACAGCTCTCTAAACTTTTCTTCTTGCAAATATCTTTGACTCTTTCACCTCCTTATGCACTTCAAAATATTGTCTTTTGTACTAGAATCTTCAGAAAAATGGGAGATGAAAACTGTCATCATCTGAGCCAACTCATTTGTTTTCATTCTTCCCCTTGCACCCAGCCTGCTCATTCTTCCTTCATGAGTGTTTTACAACTTCATCTATATTCATTTTCTGTGATTAAGCAGCTTCAATGTATTTAATGTGTTAACTCACTTTTGTTTTCAATCCAGATTCATTCAGCACCTGTTCATTCTTGACCCTATCTCTTATTTTACATCACTTATTCTGAAGTAACCCATTCCCTCTATATTTGGTTTATTTGTATGTTTCTTCTAATACACAGGTCTCATTTTCATATAACCGGTGCCAAAGCACATTCATGTATTCCAGATACATAATGTTCTTCCATAGATATTTGCATATTAGTTAGTAGCTGGTTCAAGTCTGGCTTAGCAATTTATGAAACCCCAGCCAAATTTGCTCTAGTCGATGATTTCTTTCTTTCTTTCTTTTATTAGATTTGTATACCACCCTACTCCCGAAGGACTCAGGGCGGTGAACAGGCACAAAATAAAATACATAAATACAAAAGCTAAAAGATATAATTAAAACCAAATTAAATAATTTCGCCCAAGACAATTAAAAAATCCCAATAATTTAAAACAAATTAAAATTTCGATGTAAAAGAATTCTATGGTTAAGCATACCATAGGATCATAAAACTACATCTTCTCTTCTACAGATTCAGACTATTCAAACAACAGAGAGAAAATATTTTACTTCTGGTGTGTGTGTTTTAAAGAGAATTAAGGAAGTATAGGGAATGAGGTTATTGCAGCTGGGCAAGTCCTAATCCTTTTGGACATGGTCTTTGACCTCATCTTCTTCCTGTTCAGGTATATGGCACAGCTTTGGGTTATGAGTCATATAGTAATTTCCCACTTGTCACCACCATCTTCTTGGAGGAAAGACATACCTTGACCAGGCTCTTCCTCATCCTTCAAGCTTGTAAAAGAGATAAGGCTTATTCATCCATACACTTGGGTTGAAAATAACATGGTAACAACCCACTCTAGCATAACCTCTTGGCACTTAATAGTTTTGAGCATGTGGCTAGAGAACAGCAGTTCTGTCTCCTATTGAAGAGATTAGAACAAAAGCACTCTTATGATTTAAGTTTTATTAGAAATAAGCAAAATTTATTAGAAATTAGCATATTTTTCTTTATTTTTGAATATTTATTGTGAAATTTGCACAACATATCTTCTTTTTCTTATTAACATGTATAAAACAATACACAAAGTAATGGGGATTTCAATACTAAGTAATTAGCTTAATGCTGAAACCTTTATTGCACCACAAATATTTTAATGCAATCTTCACCAGATTTTTTAAAATGTTACATTCAATTTTGGATGGAAATGCCAAATAATCTTACACTCATTAACACTGACAGCCTCAATTGTAATTAATATAGTGTGAATATTTCTTTCTTTTTATTCTCAACAGTCTAAGCTATCTAACACTAAAGTATTAACACTTCAGTCAATACTTTACAAATACTGTCATATTGAAACAGTGTAATGTATTAAGATTTACAACAATATAATTTTTAAAAAGCTAAAAAAAAGTTTTGTTTAATTTGTGTAGCCAAATGCCCAATTACAAATTGGACAGAATAAAGTATTTAGCACTGATAAAATACAAATGGCATCTCAAACATCAGTTTCTCACAGAACGAAAAGATGAGTGGAAGCTGCAGCTCAAATAGCTTGATGGAATCTATAAGTATGGAATTTACAATAGACAACTAACTTCTGATACTAAAGGCAAGTGAGATAATTAACAGACACTTTCCAAATATCAGAACTCATGGAGCAGACTAGTTTTGGAAGTTAAAACCCACCCCTCTCCTAGAAAATGAAATATTTTAGGAAATATTAAAAGGACAGAATATTTCCCCCTAAAAGGGAGACAGAAACTGCCCCCACCTTTATTAATGGGCCATTAAGGCCTGAGCCAGTCCATTCTACATAACAAAGATAGGATTAGCCCTCTACCCATCTAGCAACAGAAACTCACACATGGCACCTGGGAGGCAGACAGCCTACAAAGTTAGCTAAGACCCTGGGAGTCTGATGGCCAATGGGATACATTTCTTGTACAGGAACAGGAAATTCTAAGGTGGGGCTCAAGAGAGGGCATAAAACCAAGGCACTCTAAGCATCTCTGCCCTTTTCTACTCAGGAGCTCAGGAAGCCATGTGATCCTGTCCACCATTAAAACCATCTTTCCAAGCAGCCACCATGTTTCCAGTGTCTTTTGCCCCACTTGGAACTGAACCCAGAAGGATATTTCTTTCAACACTAGCAAACCTGAAAACAATGAAATCAGTACAGATCCTGACCTAGAACTTTCACTTTAATGTCAAGATGAAAAATTTCCCCCCAGCTTGCTTTTCCAGCCAGTTGAACATTACTTTGTTCTCTATTTCTCCTGAAGACCATGTGACTGTTTTCAGCTTACATTTTATCTACATCTTACCATAAAGTCCCTTTCTTCCTTCTTTCTGCTCTCAAGTTATTTGCTTCCTTTCACCTCTACCAGCTACATCTCTTTCTGCTTTGTCCTAAGGCAAAGAGTTCCCACCAACAGCAAGGAGAACCAGTTCAGCAAGTCCAGGCAAATATCTTTCTCCCCCTTCTCTTGAGAGGCTTGGATTTTAAGCTGATAAGGAATCCCTTGGTCACACTCTGTTCTCAAGCACTGTAAGTTTGCTTAGATGAAGCTGTTGTTCCATGCCTAGGCATCATATATCAAACTTGAAGCGGTAGTAAATGTGGGAAAGGGAAGGGTCTGGCATTCTTTGCCTAAGTGAAAAGAGAAAATGAGTACTTTAAACCTTCATAATTAAAGGTCTCCTTCGGAATGAGACTTGGCTCCACCTACTTTCTGAATGTATTCTTTACATATCATGCTAAGTCTATGTGACCTACAAGCTGCTAGGATTTGCACATTCTTTCTTTAGCTCAATATGCAGATCGAGTCAATTATATCTTTACGGTTTTAGTAAACAAATACATATGGAGGAGCAGCAATTAATCTGAAAATAAAGGGGAAACATTTGAAAGAGAAAATGAAAATAAATGACTCTTTAAATCACTTTTCTCCAGCAATGGACATATATTTGCCCAAGCCCTTTTAGCAGTACATCATGAGGTTTACACACTTAACAAAAATCATTTCTCAGAAGGATGTAAATCTGCTTTCCTTCTGGGGCCATCTAGCTCAAAGGTTTATTGCATATTTTCATTTGGCAGCATCAGTCTAGAAATGTTTTGAAAAAAATCAATATAAGCTACTTATTTGAAAATGTAATCTATTAAATTCCCTCATTTGCCTCTATAATCTATAATATTATTAATATATTTTTTACTTGAAGCATCGGGAGAAGTAATTCTATTTAGAATTGGTACAGATGAGTCAATGCCATTCAATAAGGTGTCATGTGCTTGGAGGCTACATGTAAACAAATTATTTTTTATGTAAATAATAACTAACCACAAGTGTGATGGTAGAAGAATACTATTTTATTGGACTACATAATTCCATTGTTCTTTTTAACATAGATTCCCTCATATCATTTTCAGTAAAGGGTATTTCAAGAGAGAAAACAAAAAACCCTGAGAGCAGCCGAGGGAGAAATCTTAGTTGGATCACATTATCAAACTGGCACAATATTCCTATTTGCTATTCCAACTCACAAAGTCCTTATTAAACAGTACTGAGCAGATTTCTGAAAATGACAAGGATCAAATTGCCAATTATTTTGCCCAAGTATAGCTTCTGTGCCTTGGGAAAGTTGCACAGCAGGATGTTGCTCTAAGGCAACCAATTGTGAAAGAAAATATGCTTCCTGTTCTTCTCATACTTACTGAGGTGTGCAAATCACTGGTGTAAGTTATTGTACAACAGCCCTGGATTTATTTAGTAGTATTTATTAAAAGTAAGAAAACTTCCCCAGTTAAGCTTTTTCATCCCCCTTCAGAAGATAACTTCACCTGCTCGTTGCCTGTCAAGCTGCTTCCAACAGGAAATTTTCCAACATAGGAAAATGGCTAGAATTACAGCGATATGGATAATGGCATAGGCTTTGAATTGGGTTTGCAAAGCACTGTGAGCAGGAAATCTCCTCTGCCTATGGAAACCTAAGAAGGAACCAAAATAAGATTTAATTTTTAGCAGTTGCAGTAAGGAATTTGTGGACCAGAGGTCATAATAGATGTTTGCCAGCAAGTATGTACATTCTGGGCCCTTATTTCAAGCATTTTTCTGCTGTTGGGGAAAAGTATTGTTATAGTTTCAGACATTATAATCAGTGGTGGGATTCAGCCAGTTCGCACCACTTCGGGAGAACCGGTTGTTAACTTTCTGAGCAGTTTGGCAAACTGGTTGTTAGAAGAAATCATTAGGGTAGAGAACCAGTTGTTAAATTACTTGAATCCCACCACTGATTATAATAATATTTTTGTTTTAACTTCCAAAGTTGCACTAGACATGCATTGCCAGCTATCTCTATTATGAATTATTTTTTATTTTGCTAGACATCAGCTCCAACAAGGTTTCTGTTGGATTAAATAAATATTTGATCCTGTCCTGGTCCTGTTAGATCTCTCAGCGGCTTTTGATACCATCGACCATGGTATCATGCTGCACCGGTTGGAAGAGTTAGGGGTGGGGGGCACCATGTTGCGGTGGTTCTCCTCCTTTCTCTCTGACCGGTCGCAGTTTGTGTTGACAGGGGGGCAGAGGTCGACCCCAAGGCCCCTTGTATGTTGGGTGGTCTGTCCTCTCACTCCTTCTGTTCAACATTTATGTGAAGCCGCTGGGTGAGATCATCCGTGGTTTGGGGTGAAGTACCATCAGTACGCTGATGACACTCAGCTATACATCTCCACCCCGGATCACCCCAATGATGCCCTTGAAGTGATGTCCCGGTGCCTGGAGGCTGTACGGATCTGGATGGGGAGAAACAAGACTCAGGCTCAACCCATCCAAGACTGAGTGGCTGTGGTTTCTGACATCCCGATATAGTCAGTTGGTGCCATCACTAACTTTGAGGGCAAGTCATTGGCCCCCACGGAGAGGGCTCGCAACTTGGGTGTCCTCCTGGACTCACGGCTGTCTTTAGAAGAGCACTTGACGGCCGTGACCAGGAGGATTTTTCATCAGGTTCACCTGATTCGCCAATTGCGTCCCTTTCTAGATCGGGACTCCTTACGCACGGTCACTCATGCCCTCATCACCTCCCGTCTGGACTATTGTAACCCTCTCTACATGGGGCTCCCCTTGAGGAGCACTCGGAGGCTCCAACTGGCGCAGAGTGCGGCCGCGCGAGTGGTGACGGGAGCGACGTGGCGCTCCCATGTAACACCTCTCCTGCGCGAGCTGCACTGGCTCCCGGTGGTCTTCCGAGTGCGCTTCAAGGTTTTGGTTATCACCTTTAGAGCGCTCCATGGCTTAGGACCTGGTTATTTACGGGACCGCCTGCTACCACCAATAGCCTCCCACCGACCAGTACGCTCCCATAGAGAGGGGCTCCTCTGGGTGCCGTCGGCCAAACAATGTCGACTGGCGGCCCCCAGGGGGAGAGCCTTCTCTGTGGGGGCACCTACTATCTGGAACGAGCTCCCCCCGAAGATACGGAGGATCCCAGATCTGCATACCTTCCGTCGCGCGCTCAAGACTTTCCTATTTCATCAACCCGGCCTGACCTAAGTCTTTCCCCTTTTTAAATGGAAATTTTAAATCTGGTTTTAAATTATTGGGGTTTTAAATTTGTTCAGCCAAATTATTTAATTCGTTTTAATCTATTTTAAATTTTGTATTTATATGTTTTATTCTATGGCTGTTCACCGCCCTGAGTCCTTCGGGAATAGGGCGGTATACAAATTCAATAAATAAATAAATAAATAAAATAAATAAATATTCTGAGTTTTATATCATACAAACATCCTTACAGGCCTTCAGTCCTGTCAATATTTTGTACGTTCAATATTTTGAACATTTTGTATATTTCAATATTTTGTATGTTTGTCAGAACGTTTCTCTCTAAAATTAATTTCCTTT